AAAACTCTTGGAAGAAAGTGAAGGAAGGGCCTGAATTAGCCTTGACTGATGACCAGAAGCATAGGTAAGAAAATCAAAGCCGAACAAAACTGACTGCAATAAACTAAAAATCTTTGTACAGCAGTGGAAAAAAGTGACAAAATTACAAAGTTAGATAAAATATGTGCACGCTGCTTATCTGATAAAGAGTTGGTGTCGGGGGCTCCTATAGCTACAGAGAAACATCAAATAACCCAGTTTAAAAATGGACCCAAATAGACAGTTTTCTTCAAAGAAGTCATATAAATGGCAATAGGTACATGCAAGGGCACTGACCATCACCACTCACTGGGGAAGTACAAATGGAAACCTCACCTGTTAGGATGGCCATTGTTTACAAAGGAGCCAAAGGGCTGGAGAGAGAGATGCTCAGGGTTAAGAAGAGCTCTTGCTGTTCTTCCAGAGGACCAGAGTTCAGTTTCCAACTCCTAAGTCAGGCTCACAAATGCCTATAACTCCAGCTCCAGGGTATCCGATGCCTTCTTCTGGCCTTCATGAGCACCCATAGACATGGGGCATATATTCACACAGACACATACAGATTAATAAAATTTTAAAATAAATCCTAAAAAAAAATAAGATAACAAGTGTGGCAAGGACATGGAGAAAGGGGAAGCCTTGTACAGCACTGGTGGGGTGTAAGCTAGTGTCCTGGATAGGGTTACTATTGCTGTGATGAAACACATAACCAAAAGCAAGGTGGGGAGAAAAGGGTTTATTTGGCTTACACTTCCACATCCTAGTCCATCACTACAGAAGTCAGGACAGGAACTCAAACAAGGCTGGAAGCTGAAGGTAGGAGCTGATGCAGAGGCCATAGAGGGGTGCTGCTTACTGGCTTGCTCCCCATGACTTGCTCTGCCTGCTTTCTTATAGAATTCAGAACCACCATCCCAGAGGTGGCCCCATCCACAGTGGACTGGATCCTCCCCCATCCATGACTAATTAAGAAAATGCCCTACAGGCTTGCCTGCAGTCCAATCTGAAGGAGGTATTTTCTAAATTATACTCCCTTCTCTCAGAAGACTCTAGCTTGTGTCAAGTTGACATAAAACTAGCTCTTGTACTGATTGTGGAAAACAATAGGGAGAGCCCTCAAAGATTTAAAAATAGAACATATGACCCAGCAATCTTACCTCTGGTGTGCATCCGACGTGTCTCAAAGAGAGACCTGCACTCCCGTGCTCACTGTAGCCACATTCACAACAACTCAGACACAGAAAGTGTGCTACATAAACGCAGCGAAATACTCTCCAGCCTCCGAAAACCCTGCCACTTGCAGCAGCAGTGGCTGAACCTGCAGACACTGTGCTCTGTGTAACAAGTTAGAGGCAGGTGTGCGCTATATGATCCTTACATGTGAAATCTTTAAAAAGTATCAAATTCATAGAGGCCAAGAGTAGAGTGGCCCCATTGCTACTGATCAGGCCAGTCTTTCTTACACCTTTCTGTAAAGTCCCTGAGCTTCAGCCACTGGTCAAATCCTTGACCACATTACTTTCTGCTCATGTCTCAAAAACTCTGCCTCATCATGTCCTCCTAATTCCACCATAACACATCTCTCCTTAGTGTAAGAAATATCAAATACGAGTCTTTCCTATCAAATACTATAAAACTTGTGTTTAGGGCAAGGAATTAATATCTTTTTATCTCTCCCCTACCTCTTAAGGCTTTTATGTAAATGTTACACACACACACACACACACCACCCAGGTAAAACATTTCTTTGGCTCCTGCTGCATTCCATAATTAGCCAGCCTGGTGCAGTGACCCCTTTCTCCTTCCTCCTTCATTTCCTGTGTGCCAATTCTTTTAAGACTAGCCAATAAATAAGACTGTGAGGTCAAACCCCAGCCAAATGGGAAACGGCATGGTCACCACCTGAGTTAGAATAAAAACCAAATGCACTTCCTCTGTGTGCTGGATCCCGCCAAGCACAGCCTCTCAGTCAAGAGCAAAGTTTACTTTGTCTAAACACTTCTATTGGAGTGGGCTCTTTCTTTAGACCCAGAACTTCTATCCAGCATTAGTCTCTTTCAAAGGTGCAGTTTGGCATACTTTTGTAGGGTTTCAATTAATATCTACCACCAGGAAGGGGCTAGGCCAACTTTATTCATGTGTGTCTTAGTGCCTTGCACGGGAATATGTGTGTGTGTGTGTGTGTGTGTGTGTGTGTGTGTGTGTGTGTGTGTGTGTATGCTGAGTGAGTCAACCAATGAGCCAGTAGTCCTGGGGCTAACATCATATTCAGCTGAAATCAAAGGGGTCCCTCATCCATAACAAGATGATGAGAATAACTACCTTGAAAGCAGGCTCTGAGAAATAAACAAGATTGTGCGTTAAAAGAGCCTGGTGCAGGAGAGGCTATTAAATTTGAGGACAGAGTCTAGATGCTGGCAAGGGAGAGTTATCAAGGGGCCCTTTTCGCTTGTAGTTATGCAAAGTGTTAGGATGCCAGAGCCCCCGGAAACAGCTCATCTGCTGGAGGCATCAGGGCTTCTTAGGAGAAACTTCAGTCTAATTTGTTTCTATTGTCATATTAGACTAAATAGGTTACTCCTCCTCAGCCAGGAAGAATGTGTAGGTAGTCTAAATCCTGTTGCAACCAAACTCAGGCCTTCTTCTATACTGGGTTGCTTTTGGGGAGAAGAAATGCTTGACCTAAATTAATTAACTTGAGCCTCCCATCACACTTAGCCTGTACCCTAACTTTAATCTGCATTGACCAACTTTCAACAGAAGTTTGAGTAAACACCCCAGTCCATTGCAAGCAGCCCCCTCAAGCTTTGTATGCCTTTCTGAAAAACTTCACACTGAGACTTAGTGGAAAAGATTACCAAGTACTTGAGTCATTTTAAACATAAGGAGAGTTACCACTCCATGCCAGACTGTCCCCAACCCAACCCACCTGCAGGGACCAGAAGGACAAACCCTGGAGCTGCTGGGATCTAGTCCCTCCGGGGCTTTGTTTGCAGTGTCTTCTGGTTTGGAGGCAGCTGGGCATCCGAGTTATCCACCAATAGCTGCCCAGTGTGTCCAGAGAGGGGAGGGGCACCTAAATGAGCCTGGCGGCAGGGGAGAGCTGATCCTCTGTAGCAATGCTGGGCTCCTCTGAGCCTGCATAATTTGGAATCTGCAGGGAGCTAAATATCCCTTGAAAAGAATCACAATCACCTCCTGAACTTGCCCAGCTTTTGTTCCCGCTCAGAACACATTCCAGGCTATTAGCTTGTTAGAGCTTCAAAAATAACCCCATGAGACTACAAGCAGGAGTCATTGTCCCATTCCTCAGAAGAAGAAACTGTGACCCAGGATATTACCATCATCAGGTGCAGAATAAACCATTATTGAGTATTTTCTGTGTGCTACAAGCTTCACTTGAATTATTTCAATTAAACTTCAGGGAGCAAATTCTATTACCAGCTTCATGCCACAGCTCAGAAGTTAGTGTGGGGAGAGCTAGATTACGTGTACTACTTATCAGAAAATGATGATCTGGACTTTCAAAGACTCCGTGTTCTGTCCGTGGTTATGCAAAGGACCAGAATGGCAGAGAGCCCCCAGAAACAGCTCATCTCAGAGGTTCCCACTCCACAGCCCCAGGAGCAGGTAAGGAGGAGGAGGATGACAGGCTGCTCTTTAGGTGACGCGTTCAGGGGAAGTTGCTGATCATCTGATACAGAGATTTTCCTAGATCCTTGGGGAGTGAGTTCCACACAAGGCTCCTTAAATTGAAAGATACATGTCGAGTCAGTGTCTATGTCACAGACAGATGAAGACACCACACTGCTGGCTTTGAAGATAGAGATGACAAGGTAAAAGATGCAGGGAGCCCAGAACCTACAGGAAGTCCACAGGCTGGAGCCAGAACAGCCTTGCTGGAGCCATTGCTAACTTCCGACCTCCAGAACCATAGACAAGTATATGGCGGCTTAACTGCATCAGCTTTATGAAACCAATATATCAACTATCAACACAATTTTAGAACACTGGCATCATTTCATGGTGAAACCTCATCCTAGTGTCAGCCATACATCATCTCTCCAAAGCTCCCAGTGATGAGCAACCCATCACTTTCTGCTGATGAGTTTACTGTTATAGACACTGCCTATAAATAGAATCACATAATCTGTGAACTTTTTTGTCTGGCTTTTGTTTTTTAACTTAGCATATTATTCGATTTCACCTATGCCAGAGCATGTATCAGGTTCCATTGTTGATGGGTTTTCTTTTACTCTAGCCCCACATTGGATGCCAAAACATTGGTGTTTGTTTTTGCTCTTTTATGGGGCCCACCACACAGCTCCCAAATAAATCACATGCAGGCTTATTCTTATTTATAAATGCCCAGCCTTAGCTTGGCTTGTTTCTTGCCAGCTTTCCTTAACTTAAATTATCCCATCTACCTTTTATCTCTGAGCTTTTCCCATTCTCTTACTTCTGTAAATCTTACTCTTACTCTGTAGCTTGCTGTGTAGCTGAGTGGCTGGCCCCTGGAGTCCTCCTCCTTCTCTGGCTACTTCTTCTTTTTTTCCCCAGATTTCTCCTTCTATATATTCTCTCTGCCTGCCTATCCTTTCTTCTGCCCTGCTACTGGCCATTCAGTTCTTTATTAGACCATCAGGTGTTTTACACAGGCACAGTAACACAGCTTCACAGAGTTAAACAAATGCAACATAAACAAAAGTAACATACCTTAAAATAATATTCTAAAATATTCCATTTCTTCTTATAGCAAAATACTCTCCAGCTACATAACATATTTCTTTAGCTGTGATAAAACACCATGACCAAGAGCAACTTGGGAAGGAAAGGGTCTATTTAATCTTACAGCTTGTAGTCCATCATCTAGGAAAGTCAGAACAGGAATCTAAGGCAGGAACTGAAGCAGAGACTGTGGGGGAATGCTGCTTGCTGGCTTGCTCCCCATCGATTATTTCTTATACAACTCAGGATCACCTGTCCAGGGGTGATCATGTCCACATGAGTCATTAATCAAGAAAAAGCCCCCACAGACTTGCCAATAGGCCAATCTGACGCAGGCATCTTCTCAGTTGCAGTTCCTTTCCCTAGATAACTCGAGCTTGTATCAAGATGACAAAGAATTAGCCAGCAATGTTCCAATTGGCAGCACATACACTAAAATTGGAACAACCCAGAGAGTACACAGGCCTTGAGCAAGAATGACACTCAAATCCATGAAATGTTCCATATTTTTTAGCCAGGCATAGTAGATTCTGTACTTGGGAGGCAGAGCCAGGTGAATTCCAGGCCAGCCTGGTCCACATAGCAAAAGTTTCAGACCACCCAGGCTACATAGAAAGACCTGGTATCACACACACAAACAAAAAACCCAACCAAACAACCAACAACAACAAAATAAAAACAAACTAGCCCACACTAAGTTCCACAGCTAGCTAAAGAGGAGGACGTTTAGGACTAGGGTAAAGGTTAGGAGCAAAGGCAGCTGGATCTGAGTAAGAACTGGATAAATCAGCTCTTCCCCTTGACGTCCCATTTGCTTATCTGTAACATGGAGTTGCAGTTGGGGTAATTACTCAAAGCTCAACCCCTAATAGACACTGATCTACAGAGCTTTCTGTCTCTAAAGTGCAGATAAAGAACCTCAGAGACCTCTAATCCATAAGAGCAGAGGCTAGACCATAAAACACCCTCCAGTTATTCATTACTTGGGTCCTGTCATCTTTCTAAAAGGATCTGAGAAGATTTACAACTAAGCAACCAGTTATGCCAACACTATTTTTAAAAAATGGCAAAGGAATAAGAGTAGGACTCACCTCTTTGACTTGGTCCTTAACCCGATGAGGCCATCTAAAGAAGAGACTTGAATCATTCTGTTTGCTCAGTGCAGAAAGTGCTTTTATATTTTGGAGGGACTTGCTCGCACTTCCCATAGGCCGTTCTCGTCCCACTGCTGTTTTTATGTGTATGAGTGTTTGCATTTGTGTATATATGTGTGCCACACGTGTGCCTGTCACCCTTGGAGTCCAGAAGAGGGCATCAGATCTGGAGTTACAAACGATTGTAAATCCCAGCACACACATGGTGACTTACAATCTTTTGTAACTCCAGATCTGATGCCCTCTTCTGGACTCCAAGGGCGACAGGCACACTTGTGGCAGACATAAAAACAAATCTTTAAAAAGGGGGTGGGGGCGCAGGCTAGACAGCGTGTATCTAGCTTTGGTCACAGTTCCACTCCTGAATTAGTTATGAGTTAATAAAGAGTATGTAGAAAGTTAGGCCCCCAGTCAAGGGGAGGCCTCAGAAACCGCATGTGAAATCTCTTCTAAAACTGAAGGAAATGCGGCTCCCAGGAGTTGAGTAACTTGTCTGACGCTATACTGTTATTAGCAGTAAGTTCTCCCAACTCTAGGGCCGCTGGAACTAGGCACAGTGACTTCACAGGTTTTGCAAATGGCACCCCACTCAGGCTCTGTAGCCTCAGTTTCTTCAGAAAGCCTTCTCTTCTGAGGTCATTCTGCTCCGCCCACACTCCAGAATGCCAGATCTCTCAGAAATCACATGCTTCCGTAGAGTCCATTACGACTGATGACATCTGACAGGCGGAGAGGCCAGTAGACAGTCCTCCCCTGTATTCTAAATGCCATGCTTCTATTAATGTGGCTGGAGAACAAATTGGCTTCCGTGGGAGCCAGTGGACTTACTCACTTTGTGTGGACTCTCTTCAACCAAACCCTCAAGCTCTCTACGGATGCTGTTGCTAAGCAACGCCTCCCTTAGCTCCACCCTCTAACAGTCACAGTGATTGGCATATAACTCAATGGCTGAACCTGAGAGGTTCAGACTGTCTGGGGTTGTCTGCCTGCCTTGATCTCTAAGAAAAAGGAAATTGGGCATAGTAACCCAAGAAGAGAAACCCACAGGGTGACTGTCCACCAGCATTGACCAGGCAGGGCCACTGCCAGACTCAGGGACAACCTGGCACTGTGCTGGGTGGATAAAAGCTAGTCTTAGGCAACCCAGCATTCCTTCCCTGGTGCTTGCCTCACCTTTTCTTGGGATCTACCTTTCAATAGTCCAGTTCTGCCCAGCCCTTTATGAGTTAGAAAACCATATGGCCTACTTAAAAAAAAAAAAATGCACAGGCTCTGAAGTAAGGGGAGAAAAGCAGGCTGAAGAAAGGCACAGAAATTTTGTTTGATGCAAATGATCACAGAAAAGATACCAAATGGTTAGCAGTGGCTGGTGGTGCCTAAGGGCTAGACTGGTGTTAGGTAGGGGTTTGCACTTCTGTTTTACACATTTTGGCACTGTTTATAAACTGATAAGCACGTGGGCATTAAGTTACTCGAATGAGGGAGTGACTGGAAGGGAGGAAGGAAGGATGGAGGAAGGCAGGGAGGGAGAGTAAGTCAGCCTCCCGTTCATTCAGCAAAGCGTGAATTCCAGGTCTGCTGAAGGTCTAGCTTTCTACCCAGTGGCCCAGACTGGCTGCTCAGGCCCTCAGCCCATCACTGGGGCTCCCTCCCTCTGCTCCTTGGCTTCCTTCTGGTGGAGGCAGTGGAGCTCTGACATTAGGAATGGCACCAAAGCAGCCATCCTCCCTGAGCCTCGTGCGGTGTCCCACAGGGAGAAGTGCTTAGCAGGCTGCCAGGCGGGCCAGGAGGACTCCACACCCAGTGTGTTCTACCACCTCCCGATTCAGTGGGAAGCAATGGCTGGACCCCTGCCTAGCTGCCAACCCCCAACTGCTTTCTGTGGGCTTCCCCCTCACTGGCCCCACACTGGGCCTCGTATTCAGGAATGGACCATCAGGAATGACGTCCCTTTTTCTATGCCTGCTATTCTCCACAGCGACCAAGGCTGCCTGCTCCAAGATTGGGAAGACCAGCTCAGTCAGGATGCTGCCAGTTTCATATCTATGTATCAGGTGGGTGAGACTGGCAGGTGCAGAAACTGCTTGCCCAGAGAAAGGAGTGGTTCTGAGCATAAGGTATAGAGTAGAAGGCTACCTCATCAGAGAATTGCAGAGAAGCTGACCACAGACAGTCTTGAGAAGCCATGCTGGACTAGGGAGAAGCTACACCCTCAGTATGATGCCTTCCCCCAACAGAAACCTCATCTCTGATGTAGTTGGCCATTCTCTCCATATCTCCTCCAGACTCTGAGCAGGCCTGGCTCATCAGAAGACCTTTTTTCCCAGTGGACCCCGGTCCACACCCACCACAAAGCCACAGTTGCAGCAGGTTTGGACTGTGGTGTGGTCTGGGACAACTGTCCTACAGACCTTATGGACACCCCCCCCCTTCCTTTCTTGTAATTTCAAGTGTTTTGAAGGCTTTTTTCATAGGGATGTTAAATTATCTAGAGAGAGAATATATGTGGAGCAGCAGCTAAGGACCCAGGGGCTGTATTTGGGAGATCAAAAGCCCCAGAACATGCCCCCAGTGAAGGCTGCTTTCTAGATGCCTCTTTGCCCTGTTTCTGAGGCCTCATTTAAGGAACAATCATTCCCTGAAGTTCTTTTGTTTTGGGGAACATTTGTTTTGCTTTTGAGACAAGGCTCACATATCCCATATCAATTGTCCTGAATTTACTATGTAGCCCAGCATCATGACCTGTAACTTCTGGTCCTCTTGCCTCTATTTCCCAAGAACTTGGATTACAGGTCTGTATCACCATACGGGTTTATGCACTGCTGGTGAGAAAATCCAGGGCTTCAGACATCCTAGCTAGGCCAACTCCCTGTTCTTCCAATGATCAAGCATGAACTCTAACGAAACAGGTTTGGAAACAAGAAGCATTTGCAGTCAAAGCCACTGAGCCTGACAGGCATTATCTTAAGCTGATGCCCTGAATATACAGGGCATGGCTTCTTCTACTTGAGTGAAAGAGCTGGGCTGATGCTGGCACAAAGGACAGAGCAGGACACCAGACAAAGGCCAGAGAGCAAAGCTGCCTGAGGAGTCTCAATGGACACAGTAGTCTGTGATTCACCAGAAGCTGGTGACTCAAAGTCTCAGAGACATTAGCTAATTGTGAAAGCAATTACAGGCAATCAGTGATGGGATCTCCTCTGACTTCAGGCCAATGCCGCTCTTGGACATCAGCTGGGTAGACAACATCCCTTCCCTGGGTCATAGCAAACCAGAGGTACACATGTGGAAGCTGCTGCAGTTTTGAGGTGTAGAAATCCATTGGTGACTGAATTCCAAGAAGCAGTCTTGACTTTCAAAGATAGAGACCCATACACTTGAAAAACAAGAGACCCCAAAATGGCTATATATACAATACAGCTATCATATGAGGAAAGACACTGGAGTGAAGGATAAGGAGTATCTGTGGGCCTTTCCTCCCTGTCAAAACAAACAAGACTTATGGGGTTGTTGAGTGGTGCAGTGGTATAAACTTCTAAATGCTCTGCTGTTTGACATACCTTGCTACCAACTGCTCAGTATCACCAGGGTACCCAGCAGCCATGCAGAATCCCAGTCTAGCTCAACGTTCCCAGGAGCGTAGAAGCAGATTCTCACTTTACCAGGATCCAGGTGCTCTGCAAGTCACTGCAGCTAAGAAGCATTGATATGCACAGCCATTTGCCTTTGTGAGTTAAAACTGCCTCCAAAGAATATTCATTTACATTTTTAGACAAGTCTCTAGTCCAAATTGACTTTGGCCTCTATTGCAGCCATGGATGGCTCTGGACTTTTGATCCTCATGCCTCAATTTCCTGAGTAGCTGGGATGTCAAGACGGGCACCATAATACTCTGTTCATGTGGTGTTGGGGATTGAACCCAGGGCTTCATGCACAGTAGGCAAGCACTCTACCAAATGAGCTACATCCATAGCCCAATCATTTATCAAAACTAAAAATCCTCTTAGGCTTTATGATAGAGAAGCCTGCAAAGCTCCAAGGATATGGCTGTAACGTGAAACCAAAGCCTGCTTTCACAGAATCTGTGTTCAACCAGGGAATAAACATTCCGTAGAAAAGATGGCTAGACTCGGTGATACTGGGACAAAACCAGACATGGTGGCATATTAGAGTGACAAAGGTGGTCAGGAAAAAGTCCCCCTGAGAGATGCCGTCCTAACTGGCTCTTGAAGAATAGAAAGAACCCAGCCTCACCAAGAACTATAGCAAAGGCCCAGAGGAGAACAGCCACTGTAAAGCCCCCGAGGCCAGCATGTACGTGGCAGGTCGGAGGAACAGGACAGGAAGTAGCTGCAGCATCATGTGTAGAAGGAATGTGGAGATAAAGGATGAAGGTTGTAGGCTGTGGTGAGGAACTTGGGTTTTATTCTAACTACGGGAAGTCATAATGAGGGAAATCACAGGAGAATTAGGGCCTGTTTTACATCTTCCCTGGTGGCTTAAAACAGCACCCATCGGGTTGCTTTAAATTCTGAAGGTTGGGATGTAACCAGGACCCAATGGGAGAACTCCTTTCTAGTCTACAGAATGTCAGTGATACTTCCATTCCCCTACACTTGGCTTATCCTCACTCTACTTCTACCCAAGCTGTGCAGGGCAGCTGCCATGGAGAACAGGTTAGACTCAATGAGGGGAGGCATGAATGAATGAATGAATGAATGAATGAATGAATGAATGAATGAATAAAGCAGGGTTCTGGTTTGATCTGTATTTTAAGAGCTCTAGTATAAACATCCCCTGCAAAATGAGATGTCATGGGACCAGTCACGAAAATGGTTCTGTAACTCAGATGGAAGGTGTGGACCTGAGATGTCAGCAAAAAAAGGGTTGTGTAAATTATTGGGGAGGAAGGAGGAGGCAGGCAGGTAGAAGATGCAGACCCCAGAGCCTTAGAGCCTCGCCACTTAGGTGGACCAAGGAGCAGAGATAGATCCCCAAAAGTTACCCAGAAACTGCCGGTGCCAGCCAAAGACAAGGGAAGTCAGCAGGAGGGGGCAGCAGGGCCATGAGAGGTGGTTTCTGTAAAGAGGGTGGAGAGAGGAGTCACTGAAGGGTCTTACTTGGGGTTTCACCAAGACGGAGTTTTTCAGAACAGCATGCTTGACTATGGAACACCCCCACGTGGAGAGAGGGGGCTGAGGAGAGAAAGCCTTGAGTAGGACAGGGCCTTTGACACTGGCCTCTGGTGGGAACGGGGGCGGGGGGGGGGCAGGTGTAGAACATAGGAGCTCAGAGAGGAAAGTGGGCAGCTTCACCTGGCTGTCCATGTCCTTGGTGAAGCCCTGGGTGAGGTCATCTATTGGCCAGTGGCCAGCTGGCAGGAACACGTGAGGAAGATGTGAGTACCAGCAGCAGATACGGAGATACAGAGAAGCCGACGTGGTGGGAAATCCAATAGCCCGCTACGTAGAGTTTCCCCTCTTTTCCAGCCTTTGTATAAAAAGTGACAGCAAGGACAATGGTTGAGTGACATTCTGGTCATATTGCTGCCTCATCTGTTCCTCATAACAGCTCAGGGAAGGCAAAGTGGAAACGATGACACTAGCCCCAAAGGACTCACTGCCTGGACTGCTGGTTCATTGGGACCGTTCTTTACCCCCACCCCCACCCCCACCCTGGACTGTTTTCCTCACAGCCCCAAGAGCATTGCCAGATCAATGTCCTTGCCTTCCAGACTTGACACCAGGTCTCTGTGCCCTGAACTCATCTTCAGTGAGCCTTGCCTTTGCCCCTGGGAAATGTTCCCACTGTGATTGGC